GCGTCTTTTTTTCACAACGCGATTCCCAGTTTCGCTCGCTCGTATCTGCGCGTATGTCCACGCGCCGTTTGGTCTTCTTTTGTTCCACTTACATGAACGAACATGACTCATTTTTCATATCAAGATTCAAGACCAACAACAAAAAAGAGAAATGTGAAACCTTGTTGGATCATAAAACTATATATGTTTAAGTAGTAGAATCAGAATGATCCAAAGCATTCTACTTAATCAATTGGACCAAGGAGAAACCGAAACGAAAAACTTGACGAAAATGTACATAAAGATCTCATTTTTATTACTCTGCAAACTTGAAACCATCCTCAAAAAAACTCAAAAACTAAACATTTTGGGTTGATTCCAAGATTGGAGGCGATTGCGGTGGTACTGCTTGAGATTCATCATCAAGATTAAATTCCAACATTTTCCTAGTAGTTGCTTGAGTTGATTCTCTAGTAATGCTTGAGTTTGAAGAGTTGTTGTTGTTTCTATTCATTGAGGTAGACATGTGAGCTGAGGTTACCACCGAGGTAAAAACACCGGCTTCTCTTAGCGCTTGGATTATAACCTGAGAAAGTTGATTCAAATCAAAATCATTCAGAGAATGTTTTAAGTTTTGGATTTCGTAGTAGTAAACTAACAATCTGACCATTGGTTCGTAAATGCGAGTCAGAACTCCTCTCCTAAGAAGTTTCAGCTTCAGTTTTTCATCAGTCCATACAACTTTTTCTCTGTACCATTGAAGCATTTCCTCTGACGTTGAACTCGAAGCAATGATGAATGCCTACAATACAACGAAATGTAATGAATGAACAAGAACTATAGCAATCAACAAGAAAAGAAAAAACAAATCAAATCCTAGCTCACCGCTCGGTCAAACTCTAGCATGAAACATCTCTTGACATCTTCTTTAGTTGGTTTGCAGCCACATCGATTACGTCTTGAAGCAAGATCTGAAAATCTTGAGTAAGTGTAATGCAGAATCGCGACTTCGTCTAGTATAATGGCACTTTCACAATAAAGATGTGGATTCTTTGTCAGATTATTACAAAAGCAAAAAGAATGAATGGATATGTCAATCTCTGAGCAAAAGCGAGAACAAGTAACATACTTTGGGATCGCGTTGTAGTTGTACCATCGATGAGCACCATTAGGCCGAAGGCCGTCTTGAATCCGAGCAGCGGATTTCCCATTTGCGTATGTAAGAAAAAAGTTTGGATTGCCTCGAGTTGCATCTTTATAACTTGAATAGTAAACATCTCTAGGAAGATGTTCATAATTCTTCTTGAACATTGATACCTAAAAGTAAACAACATTTTTGGATCAATTAAGATAAAATCTAGAAGATAATGTTATGTACCTCACTGAAAGGCTCTTTGATATCATCTCGCTCAACGCTGCTCTCCTGAAACAAAGCGAGTTATCGACATCAATAAACAGCCAAAAAAAAAAGAAAAACCAATTTGGATGCAATTCAAATAATCGACTAACTCACGTAATTTGTAAATACAACTGAGTCCACATCTGCAGGAACATCTCTGAGCAAACTTCTTAACGAATATTCACGGGTTCCAGAAGGATGTACAAGCTCATCGGTGTCGAGGTGCAATATCCAATCCATACCATCATCCTAATATACACACCGAGCAAAAAGCAGAGAATTGCGAAAAATGTTAGCAATTCTATCTTTTTTCTCTAGTGACTATGACTAAATGTAACAATTAGTACCCTAGCCATGGTGATAGCCATTTCCATATTCAAGCTTTGTTTCACGAACAATTCGTGATTACACGGTTTGTAGAAGAATTTCTCCAACCATGTCTCATTCCAAATCCGACTGTAAACCACACAAAACAAGTGATGAAGACTCAAATTATGATCTGAAATAACCATTTCAGAATTGTACCACTTTTGATAGATCAAGATCCATTGATCCATTACCAATCATGCTTAGCTTCTCTTTTTTGGTCACACCAATCATGCTTAGCTTAGCTCTGTCTAAATGAATCCACAACTTAATTACAAACACAAACAGAATAAAATACCTTTTAGACTGTTCTTCTTCTAATTCTCTTGTCCTGTGTATAACTTTTACACCCTGCAAACAAAACTTGTCACTAAGAATAAGAAGAAACATAAATACAAAACAAAACTCGGGAAGAAAAAAAACTAACAGGAATGGACTCTAAAACACGAGAAACATTTGGAGAAGAAGCAGTGCCTTCAACGAATAGATAAAATTTTGAAACTCCAATGACTTTATGATAGAAAATCCATGGCAATGTCTGTTCTAATCCAGCAGAAGTACTAGTCGTAATACAAATCTGACAAAAAAAACCAATAAAAATCCGATTTTTAATCATTCTATTAGCTTAAACCAAAAATTGAATCAAGAGTTATTATAACCATAGGTTTAAGATCCGGCTTTTGATCAAGCTTCCAATCTCGGAGATAAGGGAACGATTGTGTATGGCTCTGACTTAGAAGAGAAACGCAGCTTGAATCAGATCGAAGTGACCGTGAGGTTGAGGCCATACCGGGGAAAGGTTGGTTATCGTTAAACCATTGATTAACCGAGTCGTTGAATCCGCCTCGCCATTGGAGGAGGAAGGCGAAGCTAGCGAGAGAAAGAGGAAGAAGGGTCAGTAGCATGAGAAGCCTCGAG